ATTCCAACGAGTGTGAATAACTATAGCATTGTTGGATTAGTCAAGAGAGTACACCGCACAGGGCAGAGAGAAAATTTCAGCTTGACAGAATTAAGCACTTCAATTCAATTATGCTTATTGTGGGCTATCGAGTATTATATAAAAACATATATGGGCCACGGCCCAAAATCCTTTAGGGGGCGTTTGGTTCAGGTTATATAACATAACCAAGGGAATGTGACATTCCAAAGCTCACATTCTGGTGTTTGGTTCATATTATCTTAGGGAATCTAACATTCCCAAGGAATGTCACATTCCCTCCACATAGGATTTTGAAGGGAATGTGATTCCCTTCAAAATCTTAGGTAATGTAAGATAACCTTTGTTATGTTAGTTTATTATATATATATATATATATATATATATATATATATATATATATATATATATATATATATATATATTTATTTATTTATTTATTTATTTATTTTTATTATGTTATGTGAGCATATAAAATAATTTTGTTTCTTAAGTTCAAGATTTTAGTTAATATTTTAAAATCATGTAACTATATATGATAATGTTATCTTATTTATTTATTTTAATTTTTAAATTTATTAAAATATATAAAAATATGTTAAGGATATTATAGTGTGTATAAAAGATAACCCTAAACCAAACATGATTATGTTACATACCCTAATTTTAACTAAACAAAGGAATCTAACATTCCCAGTAATCTAACATTCCCAGCAATCTAACATTCCCTAAGGTAATCTGACATTCCGTGAACCAAACGACCCCTTTACTTCTTTGCACCAATTCACGGCAAATTATTGTGTGGACCATGGTCCACACAATGTTATGTGGACCATAACAAAAAGTACATTTTTAATATACTAAATATACATTATTTTTGTACTGAATGTACATTATACGATATAATGTACACTCAGAACAAAAATAATGTATATCCCCTGAATACAATGTACATTATTTTTGTATTGAATGTACATTATTTTTATACTAAATGTACATTATTTTTATACTGAATGTAAATTATTTTACAGTAGACAAAATATGTTCCACACAATAATGATTGCCAATTCACTGAATGCACTTAAAATACATCTTTATATCTTTATATATAATATAGGAACAAGGCTCAACCAATGAAATTGCTTCATTTTCCCGCCCATGTAAAACTAAGCATTTTGGTAATATATATTTTATAAATTTCCTTTCTATTATCAAGACATCTCATAGTATTCGTTGTGAATGAAACCACATGTCTTTAATGACAAGTTAATTTTAAATTTTTTAAATAAATTTCTTCTCCATTTCCTAGGGACCTCTTCGTTTTTGTTGATGCCAAGTTCATTTACCAATGTTATGTTTAGTTTTACAAGTTATGTACAGCACAAGCACGCTTGCTAAAAAATAATGAGTGCATATTTTTTAAATTGATTTTTAGTGAGAAGCAGCCTATAAATAGTACGTGTTTCATGATAAAAGTAATAAAACCCAACATTTACATTGAAGAGAAGGGAAAGATAGATACTGAGGTGATTAGTCATTACTTCTCCCCTTTTTTATATCGTCTTAAAGCTCCTTTTTATGAAAAGATAAATTCATTGTAACCATTTTACTGTATGCACTTCTTCCATTTTTAATAATATTTATGGAGTGATATTCGGAATATTGTTCATTTGTGTTTCTCATTTGTTGCACAGAAAAGTTTATAGAAACCCATTTTAAGGATTAAAACAGCATACCAAGCAATATCCATACATTTCCAAGGGTTCTCATTGACATTGACACCTAAAATCATCAAGAGAAGAGTATGATCATAATAGAACTCAAACCCAAGTAAGTTTACAAGTACACTTTTAAATAAGTAAATCTAATATCACATTAATATTTGCACAATGGTTGTTTACATTTTTGCCAGACATTTTTGAAGCTCAATGAATTAGAGGATATGAGACATGTCTGGTATTACTTACTGAAGTATGCAACTGTTGACTCAAAGACCTTGTCAAAGTTATATGCAAAAAGGATTCCAGTTCTATGAAGGAATACTGTCCTAAAAGGAATAGATATTGAAGAATACTAGTTCTAAGAGGAATTTTTATTGAAGATCTTCTAGTTCTAGTTTGATTAGGAATAGCATTATTATTCACAAATCTGTTAGAAGTAGCTACTATAAATAGGGGTTGTCCTTTATCACAGAGATCAAGCATTCAACATTAATCTTGTGAGGTATGAGAGTCTTTGAGAATAGGATACTAAATTCCCCTATAAAGTAGTACATGTGTTTAGGTTTCAATAGTTTGGTAGGAAAGATCATTCTATTGTGTAATCTTAGGTTCCAAACAGTGTACTTTAAATATTGAGCTTTTAGTGGATTTAGGTAAATTCTCAAATTGAGAAGTGCCTCGCAGATTAGGGTTGTTTGCCCGAACTGCGTTACAGATCATTTGTGTTACAACGTCAGTTTCAACATCACTATGTGATGTGCGTTTACAAATTTCAGCAACAAATAGCTCACTGGTGGTGTGATTAATTCTTTACTTAGTTCTGAAATTCAAAGTATTACCTTCAACCCAAGCTCAAGATACTATACATGTTAAATTTATCATTATACGTTAGAATTCATGTGTGTGTGTGGGCAATTAAATTTCAAACTCATGGACTTTGTAGGTACAATTCAAGTCACCTAACCAACTAACTATGGTTACCCACCTAAATTAATATTATAATACTTTTTTTTTTTTTTTGTAAATTGGACCTAAATTTATTAACAGATTTGTAAAGGGGTCGTTTACTTCATTTGTCTATTTTTGCATTTCTAGTTTTCCATTTCTCCAATTTTTTTTCTCCATTTTTCCCGTTTTTCATTCTCCATTTCTCCAATTTTCCATTTCTCCAATTTTTAAATTTCATTTTACGAATTCAATTTTTAAATAAAAAAATGAATAAATTAATACTAAATGTGTAAATCTAATCGCAAACTTTCTTTGAAATTCTGCAATTAAAACCTTAAAACATTAATTTGAGATTCTACCATAAAAACCTCATTTTGAGGTTTTGATAATAGAACCTCGAAATGAGGTTATAAGGTTCTAAAATCAGAACCTCATTTTGAGGTTCTATAACCAGAACCTCATTTTGAGGTTCTATAACCAGAACCTCAAAATGAGGTTCTACTATAACCTCATTTTGAGGAACCAGAACCTCATTTTGATGAGGTTCTGGTTGTATAACCTCATTTTGAGGTTCTACGATCAGAACCTCAAAATGAGGTTCTCCTGAACCTCTAAATGAGGTTGTGAATGTCGAACCTCATTTTGAGGTTCTGCAATTTGAACCTCAAAATGAAGGTTAACCTTCAGAATCTCATTTTAAAGTGGTATTGTGCAAAATGTGGTTCTACAATTTGAGATTCTACTGAAACATTTATTAATTATAAATTATAATAGCATTCATCAAGAAGTATGAGGAATATGCAAGGAAATGAAGTCTTTGTAATCATCAAAAAATTAAACATAGCGATACATAAGCAATTCATATAAATTAGAAAAGCATTTGTGAGATGAGAATTGGATTTAAAGAGCTTTGTTACCTGTTCAGGGGAGATGCCAACAATTCCCAACACCTTTTCTTGAACATCACGCTTGTGAACTTTTAAACTTTCGATCATCTTCCGATCTAATTTAGGGTATATGTAAATGAATACAAAAGAGACGCTGAGTCAGTGAGTCCCGTACGGTCGACGCTGAGTCGCTGACTGGGTAGTGCCGTAATGAGAGGATGTGAAGAGCGAGAGCGGAGGGCGTGAGGCGATGGGAGATGAGAGATGAGGACAGAATTTGGCAGACTGCGAAGGGAGAGACGAAGAGTGGTCGAGATGGACAGTGGAGAAGCGGTGAAGCAGATCTAAATTAGGGATTAGGGATTAGGAGATTAGGGATTAGGGATTAGGGCTTTTTTGTGTATTTTGTTTTGTATTTGGCAATTCTTTTGGGTTTTGAGTTTATGAAATAAAGTGATTAATAATTTTGTTGTCTGTATAAATTATTTTTTGAGTTAATTCCGTTTTTGGTCCTACATTTATCGCGTGATGGACATATTTTGCCCGATTTTATTAATTTAGCCACATTTTACCCAGCCTTTTTAAAAGGTGGACACTTTTGGTCCACCGTTACATTTGCTGTTAATGAACCGTGAAGTGGGAGGACAATTGTGTCCTTTCACATGCTATTCTTCATCAACCTTCAAGTTGCTTGGTCTCCATCTTCCTACGTTACTAACTACCCCTATACTTCCAACAACCCTCAAAAGACTAGCAAAGGTGAAAGCATCAACTCCAACCCCAGACTCTTTAGTTTGGCTACAAAGTTCAAAAGCTTCCATGGAATCTGAATTATTGCAGCACGGCCTACTGATAGACTGGATAGAGAGCTTCATTGGGGCATTTTCGCAAACAGCTGGCGAACCCATTTCCCCTACCTCAATATTAGCCTGGGATGGCACATCCTTCCCTTGCAGATTCTCTGTAACCCCTGGGACATCACCAACAATAACCCCTTTATTCAATGATTCCCCTACCTTTACTCTCCTGCAGCTACTCCCAATATGCTCAAGCGTCCACCATCGCTATATTCCACATCAAGGCCCTTCTAAAATCCTCATCAGATTCGAAACGAATGAGGATTGTTCTTGCATTCAACGATCCTACTTGAATTTCTCCAGAGATTTGGAGATTTGAACGAATTCAGCCCTAATCTGCACCAGAGACAGATTATTGCGACCGACTCGGCCAATTAGAGAGATTATCCGCTCAGATTCTCCCAAGAAACCAAGTCTCTCCTCGCACCCATTCCGACGAAAATTCCTTTTGCAGTTTCCAGTCGCTACATTTCGCATACAAGCTTATCAGTGAGTTGAGAACAATCGAGTCCGGTTCGAGCGACGGCGATGATCGAAACGCCGTATTTCATGGCCTCCATGACGGAGCTCTACCCGCAGTGGCTGATGAAGCCGCCGATGTTGGGATGTTGCAGGATTTTCGCCTGTGGGGCCCAACCCTTGACCACCAAACCCCTCTCCCCTACCCTCCAGTTCGTGAGCGATCTCACACGTGTCTTCCTCTGAGGCTCCGACAAGAAGTATTCGCTTTCGAAGGAGACAAACACCATATATTTCTCTTCTTTCCCGTTCAGCCACCGGATAATCTCAGAATTGACTTTGTCCAGTCCTTCATTGCTCGTGCCTCTCACGACGCTTGGGATGTCGAAGGCGAGAATGACCTCCGCTTCATTATCGACGAGGATCGCTGTTTGCCGACATGCCCTTGTCAGGTCTCCCTCGATTGCGTGGTCCCCACTCCCACTGCCATCTCTAAAGTACTGGGTAGACCAAGAAAATTGAAGGCAGAAGACAAAATGGATGTGAAAGGACATAATTGCCCTTCTAATTCACGGATGTTTAACGCCAAGACTAACGTTGGACTAAAAGTGTCTACCTTTTATAAAGTCTGTCTAAAATGTGGGCAAATTAATAAAAGCGGGCAAAATGTGTCCATTCCACAATAAATGTAGGACCAAAAATGGAATTTGCTCTTATTTTTTTATGGAATAAGGTTCAAATTGGCCACTGAACGTAACCTGAAAATGCAATTAGGCCACTGAACGAACAAAAAGTGCAATTAGGCCACTGAACACTCCAAAAACGTGCAATTAGGCCACTGAACTCTCCAAACGTATGCAATTTCACCGGATAGCAGGTTACCATCAATTTTAGCAGGTTACCTGCTTACGTGGCAGCTGAGTTGGTATTTTTAATAATTTTTAAATAATTTTTAATAATTAATTTTAATAATAAATTTTATAAAAAAATTGAAAAAAATTAAATAAAAAATAAAATAAAGTCGTTTTTATTTTTTTAAAAATTTTTTAAATAAAAATTTATTATTAAAATTTATTAAAAATGATTTAAAATTTATTAAAAATGCAAACTCAGCTGCCACGTAAGCAGATAACCTGCTAAAATTGAGGGTAACCTGCTATCAGGTGAAATTGCACATTTTTTGAGTGTTCAGTGGCCTAATTGCACTTTTTTTTTCGTTCAGTGGCCTAATTGCATTTTCAGGTTACGTTCAGTGGCCAATTTGTATCTTATTCCTTTTTTTATTAACTATACATTTCATAATGAGTTAATACCACAAATGGTGTTTTGACTATTGAGGTAGTACTTCTTTTAATCTTTGACTTTCAATTCGACCAAAACATATACCTCGACTTTCATTTTTTACCATAAATAGTCCTTCATTAGTTTTTCTATTAAGTGAGTGTTAAATTTAAGGGTATTATTGTCAAATTAAATTTAAATTAGTTCTCAATTAAGATTGCCTATGTTCTTTGGTTCTCTGTGTTGGGAGCATTTAAAGGGAAAGGCTTACTTTTGCCTTCCCATGTTGTCCCACATTGGAAGTTTAGCCTCTTGTTACCTTACTTATATACTCCAAGGCTTTTCATCTAACTTGAAGTGTTATGAGAAGGGAAAAGAGGTAGACCACGCGCGCGCCGCCGGCCCGCCCGGCGCGCGGTGTGGTGGGGTCAACATTTTGCTCTACGTATTAAATTTCACACCCTATTTTTGTGGATCATTGTAATGACCTTGTCATTACAACTCCATGTAAGAGTGGACAGAATTTGTCCTCTTCCTTTCTTTTAGCGCTACATTTGTGGTAGTGTGAGGTGGGGTGCTGTAATGGGATGCATCATTACACTATAAATAGGAGACATTAGACAAAGGGAAAAACGCACCACTAACAGTAAACACTTCTACTGTTTGCGTCTCTTTCCCTTTGTGTTCTTCTGTTTTGCTGTTCTGTTTTGCTGGTCGGAAACATACGACTCAATCCCAGGTCGTGAATGTTTTTAAGGCAGTGTGTTGCACACGATACAGAACTCTAATCTGAGTCCCTTTTTCCCACAATTCTCGTCCCTACTAGCAGAAAATACAACAGTTAAAAACATTCAGATTCTAATTTGAGTCGAAAATGTCTGCTGGAAACACTGCTTCTGATATTGCTCCTATTCAACCACTCACTGGTGGCATGAATTACAAGAGATGGGCTGCAAAATTAATCATGCTTCTGGAATCGAAGGATGTGGACTATGTCCTTTTTGCAGACCCTACGAAGTTCGATGTGCCTGCTGCGCAACTTACACTGCAGACCACGGCTTCAACTGCTGCGACAGACCCGAAGTCTACTGGTGGTACATCGACTGCAGATTCTACCAAAGACCCGAAGTCATCTTCAATTCAAGACACATCTGCAGCCGGGGCAGCTCGCATCAAATATGAAAAAGGATAACAAGACTGCCCGGACAACCATTCTTCAACGTGTAAGTGACCCGTTGTTTGATATGTTTTCTGAATATAAATCTGCAAAAGCAATTTGGGATTTAATGATTGAGAAATATGGGGCTGATGATGTGGGGAGACGTAAGTATGCTGTAGGACGTTGGTTACACTTTAAAATGGTGGATACCAAGCCTGTAATCGAACAGGTCCACGAGTTTGAAAATTTAGTAGGTGATATGAAAGCAGAAGGTGGAATAGTTAATGAAGTGGCCCTATGTGACTCTTTGATTGACAAACTGCCCGACTCCTGGGTGGACTTCAAAATTAAAATGAAACATGATCGAAGGAGCTACACTCTGCAACAGCTAATCAATAGCGTGAACATCGAGGAAGAAAACCGCCTGGTTCAAAGGTCTGTTTCTCTAACTGACAATGTTAAAGTTAATATTGTTGAAACTAACTCTGGCTTTGAGAAGTCAAAACCTGGTGAAAATTCCAAAAATCAAAAGAAGAATTATAAGAACAACAACTCCACTCGCGGCAAAGGTGAAAAAGTTCAGAAAAAAGGAAACAATAGTGGTGAGTGCTATGTGTGTGGAAAACGAGGCCACCGTGCTGTCCAATGCTATAAACGCTATGGGGCTACGAGTCAGAAACCAAACAATGAGCAGCCGAAAAACTAAGCGAACCTGACGGAGACTGCAGAAGATACTGATCCAGTAGCCGCAGAAGTAACTGAGGCCAACATGGTGGAAAATCCAGACGAGTGGGTTGTGGACACTGGAGCTTCACGACATTTCTGCAACAACAAAGCTTCATTCAAAACTTTTGAGCCTATCACTGGTGGAGAACAAGTCTTCATGGGAAACTCCAGTGTTTCCGAGGTAAGTGGTAGAGGAAAAGTAGAATTACTGCTTTGTTCTGGAAAACATTTACTGTTGCAAAATGTGCTTTATGTTCCTTCCCTTCGAAGAAACCTGATTTCCGGAGGCCTTCTAAATAAGGCTGGAATCAAGATGGTTTTTGAGTCTGACCGTCTGGTGATGACTCGTTATGAGAAATTCATTGGGAAGGGATATTTTCGTGGAGGTCTTTTTGTTCTAGATGTTTCCATAGTTAGCAATTCCTCTGATGTATCTGGATTATCTCGCATTGCTCGTGATAATAAGAATGCTTCATTTGCTTATACTGCTGTATCAGTTAATGTTTGGCATGCTAGATTAGGACATGTTGGTGCAAAATGTTTAAATAGACTGAGAAATGTGAATATGCTACCAAACGTGTCAGATGATACATGTGAACAATGTGAAACATGTGCTGAGGCAAAATTTGCTAGAACATCCTTTCTAACTGCAAAGCATCGTTCTTCATCACTGTTAGAATTGGTTCATACTGATTTAGCTGATTTTAAAACCACTGAAAGTCGAGGTGGTAAGCGATACTATATAACCTTTATCGGTGACTTTTCTCGTTATACAAAATTATATTTGTTGAGAACAAAAAATGAAGCTGAACAAAAGTTTGTTGCTTTTAAAAATGAAGTAGAAAATCAGTTGGAAAAAAGGATCAAAAGGCTTAGATCCGATAGAGGAGGAGAATATGAATCAATCTTTTTGAAAAACCTGTGTGAATCTTCTGGCATTGTACACGAAGTAATTGCACCCTACACACCCCAACAAAACGGCATAGCAGAAAGAAAGAATAGAACTCTAAAAGAAATGATTAACGCCATGCTAATCAGTTCAGGTGCCTCTGACTCATTGTGGGGAGAAGCTGTCCTAACAGCTAACCACATTCTAAACCGAGTCTTACACAAAGGGTTTGAAAAAACTCCTTATGAACTGTGGAGAGGGCACGCGCCAAATCTTAAATACTTTAAAAGTATGGGGTTGCTTGCCAAAGGTGGGACTTCCATCCTTTAAAAGGCCCAACTTGGGACCTAACTGTAGATGCCGTGTTTATTGGGTATGCTGAGAATAGTGCAGCTTACAGGTTTATGTGTTTAGAAAACCGCACAATTTGTGAATCTAGAGATGCAGTTTTCTTTGAACATGTGTTTCCTTTAAAGGGTGCTCTTGAACTAGATGCAAATAAAGTTCAACATAATCTATCTTTCCCTGATTTATCATGTATGTCAGAAGAGCCTAGAAGAAGTAAAAGGCCTAGAATTGAGAAAGACTTTGGATCTGACTTCATAACGTATATGACTGAATTGAAAGATCCAAATAAACTGTGTGATCGTTTTATATGTCAACTTGTGTTAGAAGAAGAACCAAAATCCATTCAAGAAGCCATGCGATCTGTAGACGCTACTCTATGGAGAGAAGCAGTCAAGAGTGAGTTAGACTCCATACAGTCTAATCACACATGGGAAATGGTGAACTTACCTAAGGGTTGTAAACCCATAGGCTGCAAATGGATTTTCAAAAGGAAGTTGAGACCAGATGGCTCCATTGAAAGATTCAAAGCCAGGCTGGTAGCTAAAGGTTTCACACAGAAATTTGGTGAGGATTACTTCTATACCTATTCACCAGTAACAAAGATAGCTACTATACGCGTTCTTTTTGCTTTAGCATCTTTACATAGGTTGATAGTACATCAGATGGATGTAAAAACAGCCTTTTTAAATGGTGAACTGGAGGAGGAGATCTACATGGAACAACCCCCTGGATGTGTAGAACCAGGACAAGAAGGGAAGGTATGCAGACTTAAGAGATCTCTTTATGGCTTGAAACAAGCTCCCAAGCAGTGGTATGAAAAGTTTCACAAAACTTTGTTAGAGCTAGGTTATTCTACTAACCGCTCAGATGCCTGCTTATACACCAAAGAGATAGAGTCTAGCATCGTAATAATCTGTCTCTATGTAGATGACATGCTTATCTTTAGCTCAAGTATAGGAGCTATAAAAGAGACTAAAAGAACTCTATGTGACAAGTTTGATATGAAAGATCTAGGGGAGGTTGATGTAATACTCGGGATAAAGGTTACAAAAACTGAGAAAGGTTATCTTTTATCCCAAAGTCATTACACGGAGAAACTCCTGAAGAGGTTTGAGAGTTATGAGGTAACTCCAGCTAAAACCCCCTATGAT